AGACTATTGGCTTTAGAGGATGTAAGGCCGACACTTCTCTCTTTGTCTTCTCTCAGCCCATGGGCACGACCTATCTACTACTTTATGTGGATGATATAGTTCTCACAGCATCCTCTCCAGCACTTCTACAGAGTCTCATTCAGCAGCTCAAGGCTGAGTTCTCCATGACTGATATGGGCGATCTGCACTTTTTCCTCGGGATCAATGTTCACCGCACAGCTTCTGGCCTGTTCCTCCACAAGACTCAGTTCACGCACGACATCCTTGAGAGGGCAGGGATGGTTTCTTGTCGGCCCATCTCAACCCCGGTGGATACAAAGGCAAAGCTATCTGCGTCCGCTGGTACGGCGCTCTCCGACCCCTCACTTTACCGATCCATTGTTGGCGCGCTGCAGTACCTCACATTCACTCGTCCTGATATCACATATGCAGTCCAGCAGCTCTGCCTCCACCTCCATGCCCCCCACGACGCTCACTTTACAGCCATGAAGCGTGTTCTCCGGTATCTCAGTGGCACCGCCACTCATGGCATTTACTTGACACGATCCGCCACCGACTACCTACAGGCTTATTCAGACGCCGATTGGGCTGGCTGTCCTGACACCAAACGTTCCACTTCGGGCTACTGCGTTTTCCTCGGCGACAACCTTGTCTCATGGTCGTCTAAGCGTCAGGCCACTACTTCTCGCTCCAGTGCCGAGGCCGAATACCGGGCTGTAGCGAATGCTGTTGCAGAAACCAGCTGGATCCGAAACCTCCTCCTTGAGCTCCAGCACCCACTCCGTCGCGCCACACTTGTCTTTTGTGATAATGTCAGTGCGGTCTACCTTTCGTCAAACCCGGTGCAGCATCAGCGCACCAAGCACGTCGAGGTTGACATACACTTTGTGCGTGATAAGGTAGCGCTTGGTCAGATCAGAGTCCTGCATGTTCCGTCCTCTTCTCAGTTTGCTGATATCTTCACAAAGAGACTGCCCTCACAATTATTTCTTGACTTCAGAAAGCCTGGGTATCCGACCCCAGCACTGCCGACGTAGCCGGGAGCATGTTAAATATATATATTATATTTAATATTATTGTATTATTATTGTTACCATATTTGTATAGGTTTCTTATTGTGTCTCTCCTACCTTAATTAAGATTGAGACTTGTGTATATATACATGTACTCTCCTCACAATTTATTCAATGAAAATACTTATTCTTCACATGGACTTGTTGTTTACGGGAGAGTGTCAAACAAGTGGCGCAAACTGGGAGCAAGAAGGTGGCCGGTAGCTAGCTAGCTAGTGTTTAATTTTCTTCATTCCTTTTTGGCAAAGGATGAAAATGTCAAATTTAACATAAAATGATGGGTTTCAACTTTAGGGTAGCCACAACCCACAACGGGACGAAGGCTGCAGGAGGGAGTTAGTTATTATGGATGGATGCATGAGCGAATATATATGCAGAATGGAATTTCCCAAAGCTATGCTAATAATGCTAGAGGGGAGGGAGGGGGGGGGGGGG